AGAGAGAGAGAGAGTGTAACGCAGTGATGGAGCAAGCCCATGCAAGCCATGCCACTGCAAGCACACGCAGCTTGTGAAGCGAGAGAAGGCTGCAGTGTGCTGCAGACCTCGATCTAGCCCGAAACCTAGCAACACGCACGAGTAATGTGTCTACTGTCACCAACGATGTCAAGCACAAGAGAAAATGCCTTTCAATTGACAAAAACCCCCCGAAATAATCCAGTTTGTTGACAAAAAGCAAACTCCACTAGCAGAGATTTGTTGTCAGTTCGACATTCCACAAGGGTTGATTCACACCATTATCAAGGATAGAGAGAAGATAGTGGCAGCATACTCCAATGGAAAGTTTGCTCCGGATCGAAAGAAGATGAGACTACCCGATGCAGATACTGTGGACCAAGCTCTTCTGATGTAGTTTAAGGAGGCAAGGAGAAAGTTGGTGCCAAAACCCCTGTTCGTGGGTACTTGTGGCAAAGGAAACTACTACCCGTGAATAAGTACAGCTGGATTAGTCCACAAATGCTTACTTTCCTTGCATTTCTGATTTAAGAGGGATCGGATATAACAGGACATTTTCTCTACTCCCACCATCCCAGTTATATCAGGTTTCCACTGTATGCATCTATCAGAGAATAAGAATGTATCATCATGCACTTAACAAAAATAAACATTTACAAATGGTCATACTCTTGGGAATACCAATCCATTTAACAGAAAACAAACTTTTCATACTGGCAGTGAAATCTTCACCATTCATCAAATCAATGTGGAACAGTGCATTGAACAGGCTCAACAAATGACATTCAACCAAACCAGATTTCAGAACAAGAAATGCTAAAACTTTTTCATTGTTTCATCAATGTCATTAATGTGATCCTTCAAAGCTCGCCACTGCTCTGCACTCAGGCTAATCCCTGAAAGAGAATAAATACAGAATCCTCTCAATAGAAATGTTAATAGAGACGTATAAAAATCCAACACATCACAAGTCCACAAAACCTTCACAGACATATGAACATAATGTATTAATAGTAAAAAGGATGTCAAGAGGCAAACACAAATTTTACGGTCAGACAGGATCATGGGAGTTTGTTTTCACTGGAGTTTAACGGTTTACTAGACCCTGAGAAGGTGCATCAATGGCAAAGCAATTGGTGCAATAATTGTTTACGGTACTCTAAGGAATTGAATAAGCCCCCCTCCCCCCACTTATTAATTTTTACTTTTTTTGCGCACCCCGCTCCACCGACGATCAGGTAAAACTCTAGAATCTTGATATATCTGAACGAAACTTTTTTTTTGGTGTAAATGGCAAATTACCCTCAATATTAGTGCCGGTACCAGGTTGGCTAACTCAATTTTCTGTACATTTTAAAAACTTTTGCACATTGGTTTATATTTAGCAATGAAACTGTTGTTCCTAAATGGGGAAAGTTCCCACAATAACTTATTAAAATAAAAAAATTTTCATGATCTCATGTTCTTTTATTCACTGAAGGAGAAATAAAACACATTTGTTCCTCCTGGAACAGGGGTATGAGGTTGAATGAGCCCCCCCCCCCTAAAAATAAATTTTGGACCACTTGTCCCCCCCTCCCCCTTATTCGATACCTCAGAGTATTGAACTACTGTTGATTCTTTTTAATAAAAATAATTATTAACAGGAATGAATTTCAAATGATCTCTTCCCCCCCTCCCACCCCCTTTTATCATATGCATTGCTACTACCTTTAACATGACCAAAAAAAAATTCAAGCACAGACCTGGCTGGCACAAACAAATTTCAAGTCAATTCAGATTCATCAAATCTCCCAGCTGACTCTCCCCCTTACCTTTTTCCCCCCCCTCACAGAAACCTACTGTTAATGCAAATCAAAGCCACTCTCTCGCCATATACTACACATGGGAATATAGTGGGGGAAAAAAAACTTGAGACAAGACACTGGGAAGCTGCCAACCATTCTTAATTCAATGGGAGCATCCTGGGTTTTTTTGGTAATGTTCAGATTATCTTTATAATGTGCGGCTATGATCTGCAACTTAACTTGAACCTCATTCTGTGCTGTCAATGCACTCATCTGAAGTTTAAAAAATTGAAATTTCCCTTTCATCAATTCCCAAAAATTGGCCGCTCTAAGCTTGAATAATGATCAAAAATAGATTACACAAGGCCTAACATGTGATCTTGTCAGTTTTAATTGCAACAACAGTTAGAAAGGAATCGCCTCCCCTTTTTTGTTCTGCTTAATACAAACAAATTCTCTGGTCCTGTGAAGTTCGTGTTATCAGAGTTTTACAATAGTCAGAAACTCATGAAAAACAAAACTGAACTTCAATTCATTGGGTTTTTAAAAAATGTGTTTTCACCCCACTCCCCCAAAGAAAAAAATCGACACAATTTTTAAGATAATTTAGGAAGCCGGCCTCCGACAACGCCTGACAGGTTCAGGGCCAATAAAGACAGAAAGAAAAATCCCAGCAAAAAGACAAAGACACTTGATAAAAAAGTTCTCCCCACTCAAGAATTGAACTTGAGTCTCCTGCGTGAGACAACAAAGTAGCTAGCTGCTACACCACAGACGCCACTTCTATTCAGAGTTAAGTCCCTATGTTTTCATTTGTCAATTTAAAAAATGTTATTTTAATGAGTTTATAAACATTACACTTTTCCCTGATCAAGTATTAACAGAGAATCCAAATGCAACAATGAAAGTTCAAATATCACAACTGTCAAATTAATTCAACATAGAATGTACTAAAACTAAGGCAGAATGAGTTTACACAGGCATTTTTGTCTCTTGTGAGAGTATTTGCTTGAATACTGCTCACCTGGACCTAGTTTCATCAAAGGATCAAAACAATCTACCACCTGTAATAAAATAAATAAAATTAGGCATAGAAGCCCTATCTTCCTTATGGTGCTTCATAATTTAATTGTACAATATCAACATAAACTAGGTACCGCAAACTGGCCGTGCGCCCCCGTGGCGCACTGTCACGGAGACCAAAACCCATATTTTTACCCTCCTAAAACACCGTGTGATCATGCATACACACAGACACTTGATATATCAGAAGAAAGAGGAGCTTTTCCTCTTTTTAGTGGTATTATTGATTTGAATCAACGATTATTTTGAAAGCAAAATCTTGCGGAATAAAAGACAACACTATCAAGGTTTTCACTGTCGCGGCAGCGCGTTTCGTGTATTGATTTTTTGAGTGACCTCGGTTGAACAAGAACGGGGAGCGTATGGTATTAAATACTGCAATCTGATTCGTCGATATTTCAAGATGAGAAGACGCTCTTTCCTGTGATATATTTCTAAAGACTGTCCTTAAAGAATTAATAGAAGAGATTTGCGTGTGAAAACTTTCAGTGCTGTTTTTTTATGGAACCAGTGAAAGCCCATTCATTCCTCTTCAAGAATAACACAGCCATTATACGCAAATAAACACCGGACGCTCCCCGTCGGCTCGCAAGCAGAGCACCATCGCCCCGGTTTCGTATAAATTCTCTCTACTTCCCTTCAGCGCGGCCCGGCTCGCAGCCGATAAGCCGGTGGTCGCGAGAGGGGATTTTAACCTCCCCTTGTATTTCTTGCCGTTTTGGTCAAAAAGCCATGTTTACGTCAATAAATTTCCATCTTCTGGTTATTTAATAGCCCAGAAAAAAATTGAGCTTGTTCTCTATGTGCATAGGTGTGGGTCTACAAGTTTTTGTGAATGTCCATTCAAATTTAAGAATGTTGTGACATCTTAAAATGTAGACATTTCGCAATTACAAAATTGTAACATTTTTCTGCAACTTCAGACGTTCATAACTTTGTTAAAAAAATGAAGCTATATGTATCAATTTGGTATCAAAATGCTCAGAATGATAAATTCTATAAGGTAGTGCAGTTAACTATGAAATCAGAGGACTTTGAAATTTCAGTTTGTGGTACCTACATAAACATCCTATCTAAATCGATGACTGGATGAACAATCTGTATACCATCTGCTACAACATTATGCCACTATCTAATTAACCTTCACATCATTCATGCTAAGCACAGAGGTCAACCAACTTTTAGGTGACTCCACTAAAAAGGTATGAATTTTATTTGTTTACCTTTCTTTCCAGGCTTGAGCTCTCCATCTTTGTCATTATAGTATTCTCTAATTCCAACCATGACATTGCCTCTGAACTCACCAACTGTAGCATACCGCATTTTGGCCAGCTGAAAAGGAGTAAACAGAAAAAGACTTGGTTGAAGCTTGACCTGCAAGAAAAACTAATCTCTGCAAATTTTGTGTATATATATATATATATGTGTATATTATATCTTATCTTTCCATTAAACTAGGCATTTCTGCTTTCCTCATCAATGTAAACCAATTTGTGACCATCTAGCCCCATCCTCCCAACTCCTGATTCAGGCTGGGTTTCTTTGTGCCACTTTAACACTTTGCCCCCACGGGACGCTGATGGGCGACGGTGTGATATAGCGTGTACCGCATCTGTATCCTAGTCCGTGGGGAATAAATGTTGCACAATCAGCGCGCTGTGTGGGTAGAAAATGTTAATCTTCACAAAACCATAGAGGCATATAATCAAAACCGATCACTAACTGCACGGTATGTGGCTCAATTTGTTTGCTATCAAAACATCTTACATGATGCATGACAGCGAAAATACCAACATGATGACTAAATATAAAGTCAAACTTGCTCTAGTGGTTTCTTTATTGCTCATAACAAATAGCAACTATAATGGAACATACATAACAAACATCTTTAAATAATGCAGATAAAACAGTTCACTCCTTTATAAAAAATCAAAGCGGAATTCTTTCTTGAAGTGTTCCTAAGAATGACCCCAGGTCTGATTCTCAGCAACAAGTCTACTATGCAAGACGAAAGTTAATAGGTTTGGCCACTAAACTGGAGTAGTACGAAGTACCTGGCATAGCGTGTGTGATTTCTCAGAGAAAAATTTAGTTCTGGGCAATTGAAAGTTCCCTGACCTAAACAACAACAAGATGACACAATTGTATGACTACTGGTTAAGATTGTTGCTGAGATACTAAAACACTAAAACAAGCAGACAGGAAGACAAAAGAGATAGTTGACAAAGACAAAGAATAAGAATTATGGAAAGAGATAGGAGGGTGCTGGTGCCAGTGGGTGAAAAACTATAGGAAGACATGAAAACAACGACGACAGGAAGAAACAGATCAAGACCTCAGCCTCCTCTCCATGACTGAACTGGATCAATACAACATAAAATATATACAGATGTAGGTCTATATATACTGACAACAAAAGTACACAATGTATTATGCAAGATTACACGTTATAACAAACATTGACATTAGTGGTGTATCTGACAATGGCCAGTTACTCTTACATAATACTATTGGATTTCTGTAAAGTGGCAGAAAATGTGATACAATACGTTTATTAAAGGAGGTCTCATCAATACAAGGCATGCACCTTATCTGCACAAGGCAAATGTAGCTGTTACCATTCCGAAACTACACAAATCACTCAAGAATGACTTCATTTGTTGAGGAAGCTCACCTGAAACATATATTCACCCCCTGAACCTTTCATAGGTTCATTAGCTTTTTCTTTTTTTTCAGGTTTCGCAGCTGGTTTCTCAGGTTTTGAAGGCTTTGTCTTTTTTGGCCTAGGCTGAAAAGAAAAACCAACAGTATTTTAAAATGTTGTTTCGCTAGAGCAGTGTTTCTGTTGAAAAAATTATCAGACAAATACAGTCACATAGTATAATCCATTCCTGTATGCCATATCAAGTGAAGACTGTCACTCCCAGCAGTGAAGTTGAAAACATTTTTTAAATTTCTTCTGAAAAAAAGTTATGTCTTTATCATAATGAAAAATGTCAGCTTGAAATTAGTTTAAAAAATCAAAAACACAAAACCAATGCATTTAAGTCCGAGAACCATAAAAATTGACAATTAAAAATAAACCCCTAAGAGTCCTAACTATTGAATTTTGTTTACAAATTTGGCGTGTTCAAAGTAGTGAAGTATGTCAAATGTCACCCTTACAGCTTGATTAGAAATGACCTGCTGCTATACAAACATTTCAAACAACTTTTAAAAAAGTAATTTTATCTAAAAAGTAAATACAGATGTGTGTGTGTGTGTGTGTGTGTGTGTGTGTGTGTGTGTGTGTGTGTGTGTGGGAAAACTATCCAAACTTTCACCATTATTGTCTGATTGACATGAAACCTGCATCAAATGAAAAAGCTGAGACTGTTCGAAAATGTAGATTTATGATTCTATGGTATTATAATCTTAGTTTTCACAAAAATATTTCCAGTTCCATTAGTATTGTAATCCCTAATATAATACATCCCAGATGAGTTGTCAAACTGAAACTGATCTCCTTCCCTCTTTCATATATACATACATGGAGGTAGGAGAAGTGAAAACAAATGTATAGAAATGATAACAACTATCAATTCACATCTTTTTATTCCTACCTCATCTGAATCGTCACTGTCAGAAGAAGACAAAAACTCTTTTGACTTGCTCGACATTCTGGCTGCCTTCTTTTTCTAGATGGACAGAGGTGTTAAATAAACAAACCGAGCTTGAAGATCTGCTCAAGGTTCTGTTGTTTGTACAGCTTCTGAGCCTGGAAACAAATAAAAAAAAGTATGACAAGAAGAAAGGAAACAAAAATTTATTCTAAAGGCAAGATTCATAGCCACCCTCATGATTTCAATCATAGCACTAATAAAGAATGCTTGTTTGAATCTAATCTTACAGACAAATCCTGAAAGTGTAGGCCTACATCTTGTAAGTCATTATCTTCAATGTATACATTATCTCAGTATCTTTTATTATGTTTTCTCAATATCGTTTATTCATGCTGTTCCGTTCTTAAACAATTTATGACTGTGATGTCATCAATGTGTAAGAGGTTGTCTGGGTAAGTTTTGTGGGATTGTCTTTACTCAAAGATGTACTGTGGAGAGAGAGATAGAGAGAGAGTGAGGGAGAGAGAGAGGAGAGAGAGAGAGAGAGAGAGTGAGAGAGAGAGTGAGTGAGAGACAGAGAGAGAGAGAGAGAGAGAGAAAGAGGATTACTGTAACTATAGGAGCTGTGCACTGCATATATATGTTCTTTGTATCATTGCACAGTGCATTGAGCACTTCTTTGTGGAAATGTGGTGTATAAATGCAATTTATTATTATAATTATAATTATTTTCCCCAGCACTGAATAGCTCATCCTTCTTGGTGACTTTAATGCATGAGTTGGCAGCAACAGTACCTCCTGGGAATGGTGTCACTGGAAGGTATGGGGTTGGCCACTCCAACAGCAATGGTTGCTACTTCTTAAGACACGTGCTGAGCATGTCCTCCTGATAACGAACACCATCTTCCACCTCCCTACACACAAACGGACATTACGGATGCCCCACAATCCAGACACAGGCATCTTTTCGAGTAAGTTGTCAAGAAAAAGCAGGACAGATAAGAAATCAAGGTCAGGAAGGGCACATGCAGTACTGAGTGCTGGACAGATCATCACCTCATCGTCTCCAAGCTCAAGCTTAGTGTCCAGCCTAAGAGACCAACCCTGGGTGTAAAACCACCAAAACACCTCAACATCAACAAGACTACAAGATCATAGTTGAAGAAACCAAGCAGTCCTTCGCTGACACCCTGGAAACTCGCTTGCGGAGTCCACCTCGCTGAATGATCGAGATGTGGAAGCAGGCAGCATTGGCTGCACTTTGTGAGACGGTTTACAGCACAAGCTACTTGAGGAAAAATGCTGTGCTTACAAAGCACACATTGATGACCCACAGGAAACAGAAAAGAATGATGCGCTGAGAAACATCCAGCAAAAACTGCACCAGATGCAAGACTTTTGGCAGAACAATAAAGTTGAGATCCAGGTGCTTTGCAGAAAGGAATTTTCTTTTTCTTCTTCCTCTTTGGTTTCTCCTGCTAGATCTCGTGCATAGCCAACTGTTGGTTCTTCAACCTGCAGTGCAACTAATTTTTATGCATGTGACTGTTTAACCGTTTACATGCTTCTTACGGTCCCTTGCCTTCAGGCAGACGCATTCTGATTTGGCCCATAGTTCTCACAACATACACACGATTCACCAGTGTCATGCCAGGAAATTGAACCATTTTCACACCACTTGTCTTGTCTTACAAGAATCTTCTTAGGTACCGGTATATTCAACTGTTATGGGGCAAAACAAAGTTCTACTGGACGTGCCCACTCACAAAGGCCTGCCCAACATCTTTATTATGTTAACAAAGTCACAACGCTGCTGGGCTGCATGTATGTAGCTCGCATGCCTGACCATCCACTGTCAAAGAAATAAAATTACTCACGGCGCACAGGCAGTGGAATTTTAGTTGCCGTAGGGGGTTCCCTGCCGAGCGCCTTCACATCGGGGTCACGGGGGTCAGCTCCCTATTGCCCCTCAGTCTGGGCTGACTTAATTTTTGGTACTTTTCAAAGTACAGTTTTAGGTGTATCCTTGTATTTTCTGTAATTATCACCTAATGCACCCAAAGCACTCATTTCTGATTTTGAGACTCAAAAAAAAGAACGGACATTGCAACTTGTCAGGTTATTTCGTTAGATGCACTGAAGTCCGCAATGCTAAATTGAAAATCTTTTTGGACAAGTGTGAATGAAAAAAGATCAATATATTTTTAAAAAGGCGAGACAAAAACTGTCGTACTTTTGGAACATGAACGACATAATATTCGTGCAGATACTCAGAAAAGATGGTATCTGCGCATACAACAGAAAGCTGCAATTTTGCAACTTTATCCATCTGGCACACAATTCGCTATGAAGTAAAAGTAATTCCTCCAAATACAACTTTATGTGTCTTAATATAATCGTGAATATTCGCATATTTTCTCGAAAGTTTATAAAAACTACCCTGTAGTATCTCAGAAGAAGTACAAATCAATTTTAGAGCCAGAATACATCTACAGTGTAATACACGAACAGTATCTGTTACACTCCAAAACCTCCTTACTTTTCTTAAAACGCTAAGTCTAGGTTTCGTAAGTTGACTGAATAGCAGGGGTGACTTCTCGTAATTGGGTTATAGGAATAATTTCTAGCTTCCCAGTGAGACTGAACCAGCATCAGACTTTTCCAGCTTTTATTTTCATTTCTATGACCATTTACAGTAACTGACAATGTTCTAATATCTTTATATTCAATTTTTGTCAATTGCCACCGCGTCACTCGGTGGCAATTGACGCTACCAATATTATAATCTAGAATCTAGATAATCTAATAATTTGCAATGGATATAGATTTCTATTAATTTCATATAGAATATCTAGAAAGTGGCTATTCTCACCCGCCCGGAAGTTCTCGCAAGATCAACTCCTCCCCTCTTCTCTCTCTCTTTCTGAATACTGTCTATCGGTGTGGACGATCAAATTGACCAAAACAAAGTTAAAAAATTATGTTAAAACACAAAAGTAAATTAATTTGGTTGTCTACAAAGATGCTACGGCTATTTAACTTTTCGAATCGAGCCGAACTACGCGGGTCACCATTTTGTTTTGCCCGGAAATTCTCGCGCTACTCCTCTCTCTCTTTCTCTCTCTCTCTCCACTGCCCACAGACAAAATTGTACGCTTTTAGTAGGCTACAGTTGTAATGGAACGTTTGTTCACGGCACAGAATTCTAGGCGCTTTTTCGGTAGTTCCCACCCCCCTTATTTGATTGAGCCTGACCTACATCTAGAATCTAGATCTAGATTTTATATACGAGCATTTGCCAAAAGGTGGGATACCTGGGTGTGACAAATGAGGTCCAAAATCAACTTTATGTAATAATTCTTTAATCACCCATATTATATAGCCTAATGATTGCTCTTTCAGGCTCAGTAACTGCCAAAGCTGTATATGCAATGGTCTTGGTGTAATTCTGACTTGAATGACGGAAATAGCAAAAAGTTCGTTCATAACAATGATGACACAAATTTATGAATACTCAAAGTTCCTTTCTTCAGCTAGGCTGATGTTATATTTTGAGACATAGCAAATAACTTCCAAAAATACATAGAATTGACAATTTATAAAAATCTATATTAATTTTTGATAAAATTACTTTTTTGTGTCATAATAGTTATGAACGAACATTAAGTGACCAAAATACTATCAATTATATCAAGTTTCATCGACTAGAATTGTCTTAAATAACACTCTGGTCTAATTATAGTCAAGTGATAAATGAAAGACCATTGAACAGCTATTTTTAAACGCAAACTGGTCTTAGGGCATATTATGCATAAATTTAAAGTTCGTTCATATCATTATGACACACTGTTTCGTTCATAACTATTACTATTATGACAAATTTTACTTTGGGCCCAAAAAATTAACTTATTGTTCATCTATTCACATAAAATTGTTTTAATTTATGAGGCTTTCCTTAAAATATGATAGATTCTATGTAGGGAGAATTCAAAGTTTATTTCCTGAAAAACCCTTAGAATACCTTTAATGGTTCGTTCATAACTATTATGACAAACTTCAGTTTTGACCTAAAAATTAATATTTTAACCTGTCATTTACTTTAAAATTTTATATTAAATGAAAGTTTCCTCATAATATGTATCTGTGTACATGTTTTTAATGTTTATCAACTCTGGAAAGCCCTCAGAGTACAATATGTAGTTCGTTCATAACCATTACTACAAAATTAAAATACTAATTAAAATCCAGACCCATACACTTATGATAAAAATCAAAATATCAGAATGTAAGCAAGGTCTAATACATCCTCAAGTTGGGTTAAAATTAAAAATACATCCCAAAACAATTGTAAATTACATGGAATAAGGTTTCGTTCATAACCATTATGACACACTGTCACGTTCATAACATGATGACAATCCATTATGACAAGCATATTTTTGCCTCTTCTTCGCTTCTCTTTTGAGTCATCAGCACGATACTCTTCCATGTTCATTCCACCACGTAAAAGGATGTTGTGAAACAGTGGGAAGTCCCTCACATGATATTTTGCAGAAATATCATAAAGTGTTTGTTCATAACATCATTATGACAAACCTGGATTATCTCAATCAAAGTCATATTTAAGCAAAACCATGCGATGGAGCGGAAAATTACCCTTCTGATGGATCAATGTCAAACCAATGTTTAATACCGGTCATTCCTCGGGATGATATGTTTAACGATTTGGGTTTTCTAGACCTTGCAAAGTCTGATGATGTAATTATGACACGAGTTATGAACGAACTTATAAATTTTACTCAGCAATAACATCATTAATATAAAAAAATAAAACTCTTTTAATGGACACACGCTGTTATGATGGTGTATATAAACTATTTTCAATGTTTGAATGCACTTCTGTTTGATAGTTTAAGATTAACAATATTCTGTTTTTAACATACAATTACGTGTGCACTCAGGATGAGTAAAAAATGCCCTATTTTTAGTACTATTATCTTTCTATGTAGAGATATAAGATGCACACATCAATCTACTTGCTCATGCAGCTTGACCAACTTATTTCCTTGCCATATGCATAAAGTTTTACATGCGATTAAAAGTAGAAATGATGCAAACTATTTTTAGGTAAGGCGCCCATCTTGTTTGACGTCAGACCAGGATACCCCTCCGATCACGTGACTACATCTAAGTATAGACAACCGCACGGCACCAAAGATGGAAGTGTCTATGTATATATTATGCTTAATCTACACCATTTTTCGGAAGTTCTGATAGCTGATTTGATAGCGCGTCTGCGTTTGATGTCGAGCAATGACTTTTGGAGCGGTTCGATTCGGGTCCCGGACAGTTTTTCTTTCTCTTTTTCCCCCCCCCCGACTGGCAAACAGTCCCAAAATTTATAGCCCTATTTTTTGAGGTTCCTTGGCTTTGGGAGTGCTCATAAATTTTCGTAAAGGTGCAGGAGGACTAGATCATGGCTGGTCGGAGGGGGGGGGCGGTTGGTAGATCTAAATTTAGATATCTAGATCTAGATCTAGATCTAGATCTAGAACTAGATATTATCTAGTCCTCCTGCGTCTTTACGGCAATTTTTGTGCGGTCTTCCATCATGTCCAGGTAGGCCTAATAGATCTAGATCTAGATCTAGATCTAATCTAGATCTAGATTCTAGATCTAGATCTAGATCTAGGCTAGAAAATCCGAAATGTTACCGAAAACACGTCGTTCCATGTGGGTATCCCAGGAAGTGATGACATTACATTACTAAAATTAGCAGCCAATCAGAAAGATGCGTCATTTCTAAGTTTTACGGCATGTTAAAGTTTTCAGAAGAAAACATATTTTACCATGAGTAGTGGTTGATTTAAAAAGTCCTTAAGCAAACACCCCCACCTTTTGGCAAAAGCTCATACGTTTGATTCGCGGCAAGCCAAGATATCAAACCTAACAACTGCAAAACATTAAATTGTGGTAAAATTCAGGGGAGCATGCCCCCCTGAAACCCCCCACCATGTTTTTATTAGGTCAGGCAAGCCCCCCTGAAACCCCCCTACTCTTCGGGCCAATACCGGCGAATAACAAATGCGGGGTGGGAACTACCGAAAAAGCGCCGAATTCTACAATTTTTCTGTTATCACAGTGTAGAATTCTGTGGTTTAGGGTGAACGCAAAATTTGGTGAACGCGCAGCGGGTGAGAATAGCCACAAGACTCGCCTGCACTATTTTCACTCTGCTGGGTAATATAATCTAGATCTAGATCTAGATATAGATTCTAGATCTAGATCTAGATTCTAGATCTAATAGTCTAGACCTACGAAAAGATTTTTTTTTAAACCGTCCTCAATAGATCTAGTTGAATAATAGTAATAGATTAGCTTTAGATCAAGAGGATTATTACACTCACTTGACTTTTAAAGAAGCAGTCTGCTATCTTCACCTCAGTCTTCAGGCTCAGGCCTCATCAATCAGGGTCAAAGGAAACTGTGAAGCTTGTATTCAGTTTCCAACAATGTACTCGAACTCAAATCAGCTCTGCCAAAAAAAGGGAGAATAGATTCCTAGATCTAAATCTAGATTCTAGATCTAGATCAAAATAGGCCTAGCCAAGCTTAAATGATGACAGTTGGCTACTGAACTACAGATCAAGAAGCAACTTTCCTGCTGATACTGCTGAAGAGATAGTATAGGCCTGGCCTAGACCACGATCTCCCGCGGTATCGTCAAAAAATAGAAGTGTTGCTCCAATAGGCCTATCTTCTTTGCTCACAAGTACGAGTACTTTATACATGCCAGGATTTGATCTATAAAAGCCAAAATTCAGGAAGTAGCTAATCGAGCACAGCAGTAGAAAGGCTGCAGAAAGAGTCAGGAGCCCAGAGGTGGGGGCAAGGGGATGAGTGGGTGGGGGCAGAAAGTGGAGACGAAAGCAGATAATATGCAGGAAAAGAGGTGAAAGGAGGCAATTTTTATAGAAGAAAAATTTTCCGTGCTACTCCGGGACTTTTGAATTAGATGCGAACACCATAAACTCGACTTGGCCACGAGAGCCCCCGACTCCAGTTTTGCTGTTGTATAATAATAATAATATATAATAACATGCCTCCAACTCGGGCTTGCAGAGCGCTGGATGTTCTTGACCACAGCCTAATGTGGCTCATGGAATTTTGATATCCCAGGGAGAGAGAGAGAGAGAGAGAGAGAGAGAGAGAGAGAGAGAGAGAGAGAGAGAAGGGGGGGGGGGGGGGGGGGGGAGAGAGGGAGAGAGAAAGGGAGAGAGAGATTATTAGTAGACCTTTCTGGCAACCTATTAGAACTGAGTAGCCGAGTACCAAATTTGTTGAGGTAATGTCAATTTACTTCAAGCCGTTTCTTCTTTCATAGGCCTAGCCTAAAATAAGAACTCCACGCGTTTTCTTATGATCATTGGCCGAGGTTATTATCATTCGCAGACTCGTATTAAATGTTTGTTTACTATCTGCTTCTTTTCTTAACAACTCTTCTTAAGACGAGTTATGGCATGTATAGACAAAGATAGTCTTGTACTATCTTTGGTATAGATCTCTAGATCTAGTATCGAAATGTAATGCATAATAATGATGGGCAGGTATCGATACCAGGTACTAGATACCAATGATAGTACATAACAAGATGGGCCACTTCTCTCTTTGAGCCAATTAAAAAAGTGTCCTCAAAATTTGGTGGCGCCCTCTTCACAAAAGCGCACTTTGCGAACAGAGTTACCCTACTTGAGTTTTTAAAAATCAAAGTGAAACTAGCATGTTTTGGGATAAATTTCGGAAGAACGCTTTTTTTAAATGGTTACGCTGACAAAAAACCTTTTCCGGAGGAAAGGGTGATGGTTTTCTTCGTTTAATTTGACTTTAGAATGAAAGGCGAGAGGTCATTAAAATTTAAAAAAACACCTAAAACTACGCACTGAACGTACCCGAACTGCTGATGAACAGCAGTCGATCTGCGCACGCAAGGAGGTGCTATTCCTATTCTTCTTCTGGAAAAACGAAAGAGAGCTTCAAAACAGACCGCAGCGCCATCTGAAGCAAAGAGCATACTTCCTGCGGACACTTTTTTGGCTGAGTGAACCATCTTGTTATGTACTATCATTGTAGATACTTAGATACCTATAGGTATCTGCTCTAAACATCGATACATATATATTTATCCCAGGGCTGCCAAAGCAAGTGACTTGGGCCTTGAGAATTTTTTGTTTATCAAAACTGATAAGTTTTCGTAGGGGTCAAGCGTTTTAAATTAATCTAGTGGTTTTTTTACAAAAAGAGAGAAGTTTTTCATGAAATGTATCTAGTGATTTTGCAAAATCTTCACTGACAACCCTGATTTATCCTCATTGGTTTAATTTAAAGTTGCTAAAAATCTGGTAAATTGAATTGCCTTTTTAGGACTCTTGTGTTTTTATTTTCCAATACTAACATTTTCTGCAAAGTTGACTTTCCTCCCATATTCACTTAATTTTTGCTTTTATTCTCATATTTGGGTATTTATCTCTCTCTCTCTTTTACAAATAATTTTTGTTTGAGTCTCAGCTAAATAGTCACAACTTGTCTAGACACGATTACCTAAATACTTGGAAAAGTATAATTGTATTTTTGTCTTTACTTTGTTACCCCCGGCGTATGTTACCAATAGCATTAGGTATCGAGGTATCGGTATCGATACCTTGAAAAAGTACTAGGTATCGACATCGATACCTAAATTGTGGTATCGGCCCATCACTACGTTGGAAGTTGGGAAGAAAATGACAGTCAATTAGAGTAGCAGTTCTTTAACGCATAAGTGATTACAATAGTCTCCCTTGACTCAAGTGGTTACCTATGACGCTTCATATACAGTATACAGCTCAGATAGAATAGATCTACTATATAAGGCAAAAGGAGCGAACCTAACTTCACTGCACGTCGTATGACTTGTGACAGTTATATACTTGGACTTTGGGTGAATTTTTTTCCAATTGTTTATCGTACACTACTTGCTTGTATGGTCTGTTAAAGATAGAAGGTACTAACAATATCATTATTTTATTAGAATGTAAAATTATATAAGTCTAGACTAGAATCTAGATCTAGAATCTAGATCTATTTTAAAATACCTTAATTAGATTTCAAACACAGAGGAGAGAGAGAGAGGCAGAGAAATAGAGAGGGTGGCTGCTCGATTGAAATTATGACATAGTTCTTTTCTTCAAATTGCGATTCCTCCAACTCCAAAACGGAGGAAAAACGATCGTTCATCAAAAAGACATCCGCAATCTTCATTTAGATCTAGATCTATATCTAGATTCTAGGCTAGCCGCGAAATTAGATAAAAGATTTATGTCTGTCTGCCTAGATCTAGTTCTAGACCTAGGCCATATATATCTAGAAATCTAGAAGAACCTAGGTCAACCCTGAGCCAAGAGGGCGCTATAACTCTCTGAAATCACAAAAGAGTTCCCCTACCGGGTCTGTATACTTTGTGACTTTGTTCCCGGTTACCGGGTCTATATACCCTCCCATTTTAAAAACCATTGAACATGTAGATCTAGATCTTGTGTCAATTGAGGTCAAACCGGCCACCTGCTCAAATTTGTTGCATACGTGTGCGACTGTGTGTATAATAGTGTGAGTGAGTATAGAGACATGGATCTAGATCTATACTATAGCTATAGTGTTCGTGTGTGTCCCCGTATATGTTTGTAGTGTGTAAGGTGGTATGGTATGGTGTGTATGTATGTGTGTATATGTATGTAGATCTATGTGTATGTTTGAATGTGTGTGTGTGTGTGTGTGTGACTGCATTTTGTGCATGTTTGAGCTCTAAAACCAAGGAATTGACAATGTCCGGGCAGATGGGTTGCCTACTATCATAGATCCACCTGGTGCTGACAGTTCAATAATAACTAAATACATCCAAAAATGAACTGGTGATCACTTTAAATATGGGATTAAACAAAGGAAGGTAATATTTTCCTTCACCAAGGAGGGTGGCTGGTTTGAGCAAATGGGTGGCTGGTTTGAGCTCAAAGGTTTCAAGAGTGGCCGGTTTGAGCAAAATGGGACCTCGTACAATTTATGTGTATCATAGGGATAAAATTTAAAGGGTAGAAAAATTGCTGCTTCACCGCAAACCGGCCCCCTTTCATGTTTATTTTTCGACATCACCCTTCGCAATCAGTTATATTTTGAGCCCACAATCTTGTTATCTTTGCAGATGGCTCAAATAGCACGTAGGGTAAGAGCTTACCGGCCGGTTTGAGCTCAGTTGACTAGTTTGGGTGTGAACTTTGGTCCCCATATATTGTCTTAATTTAAAAAACTTAACCCAGAAGATCATCAGGAATGATCGATAGATCTATATAGAGTATTAAAATACAAAGTGACTATTTTCCCGAACGTTCGGGAAAATAAAGTTGAACTCTATTTCTCCGAATGGTTTCCGATCTCGAGGTTTTTTTTGGTTATTTGCAAGATTTAGGTGTCATCCTTTCATTCTGCCATTCTGCGAGGACTGCGAAGAAGCATTTTTTGCATAAAATTCAATTTCTAGAGCTAGAGATTTTTAAGTGTCTGAATATTCAGATACTTCAGTTGTGGTTGGGGCAACGTTCTCGGACTATACTTCATTTGAAAATACCTTCAAAAGGTACTTCGAGGAAACATGACTGCTCGACCTTGGCAGTAACCTATTTTGCATTTAGTCACCCAGCAGAAACTAAAATCCTTCGTTTAAAATAAAATCCCTCCAAGCCCCCCCCCCCGTTCACACCTTTCGCACACACAGACACACACACACACACACACACACATGCACACTCTTACACACACACACACACTCACAGACACACATTCACGCACACACACTCACGCACACACAACACACACAGAAAGACTGGGTGAAAGACTGGGTGCGCACTATTAATAGTAAGTTCGTAAAAAAGAATGTTTATAATATATGTTCAAATGGTCAGAAAATCAAGAGCCCCTATTATAATGCATGATTCCCAATGTTTTTAAGTAGTTTTTCTGTCGAGAGAAATATTATTTGAAATTTGGGTGATGAAACCTTGGGCCTATCAGAGTTGCCCAGCTCGGCAAATTTAAGTCTGCTATTCATCAACAGGATGGCTTTGCATTTGATAGCAGTTAAATAGAGCCTGACAGAATGCTTCTGTAGTGATTTGCTGTTCAGGCAAACTGGAGATCATCCGCAAATAACACCAGAGTAGATTTATGATGTGCCAAGCTGGGCACTATAGGGGAGAGCGGGGAGGCCTCTGACACGGGGAGACTTCGGACTCGTCAATTCTCTCTAAACTATCGATGGTAACATACACATTTTGTCACTGGATCACATAATGTGTCATTTGAGGTTTAGCTTGTTGTGTTTTTGCCACCTCTCTGTGCGAAATCTTACATCTGCTGTGAACAAAATTGCGCTTTTGACAAGGGTGTATCTTTATAGTTTTCACACCTCAGTTTGTAAGGTTTACACGTCACAATAGTGCACCAATCCTTTCACAAAACTATGTAGGCCTATCTGTGCTTTAGGGTGTCTGCTTCATACCAAATTCATAAAATTAAATCTGGCTTTCAGAATGTCTGTTTCCTGAACATGTTTCCAACACTACCCCCTTGTAGGGAGACTTTGCACAGGGGATGTGGTTACTTAGTACATTGTATGAAGTCTCCCGACGACTAATGTAAGAGTAGTTGGGATCAGAATTTCTATGAAAATTTGATTTTAAAAACGTATACACTTATGTTGTTGTATTTCCCAGACTCAACCATGTCAAGAAAATATAGAGCCTCAAAGAGATAAGAGCCTTTTAGTTCACGTAAAAGATGAAACTTGCCATGCATACATTTGTTAATGACTCATTGTCTTTGCGTAGTACAGAAGCTATGTACAATGTGATAAAATCTTCTTGAAAAGATTCTATTTAAAACGGCGTGAAGACATCAGTGTGTTTTAGAGACACTCGTTTACGATTCCACAATTTTTTTTATGATACTCTGCCATGGGGAAAAAACTCTCGGAGTATTTGATAAAATGTTCAAGGTTGTTCTTCTAGCCTGACGTTTGTCATTTTCATAATCTGTCATGGCAAACATTATAACCATGCCAGAAACATGGCATATATGAACAAAATCTACCCAAAAAGACTGGCTTTCTGGGTTCTAGTTCAAAAGTGGCACCCTTCCTGTGGAACCTAAAGAATGTAACTTTGTTGTCTTCACACTTGAGATTATTATTGGGGAGTGTGTCCACTTCTTTTGGAAAATGGTGTCAGAAGAAGACGAAGAGGATGGCTTTGGAGTGTCTTCCCTAAGAAGATCTAATGAGAAAACAATTTTTTCATTTATCCACCTATGGAAGATTTGGCCTTTGTAAAATGAGACCAGTTATTGTTCCACCGATTTGAGGCTCAACAAAGAGCAGGTCAAAAAGGTCCTGTAAGTTTACCTTTAAATGGCATCCGTTAATGATTCTATTAATCGATTCGCATTGAAGTCTCCAGTGCGTTTGAATTTCATGTTCAAAAGCTCAAACTCAAAGTGCAACACTTAAAGCTCTTTTAAAAAAGAAAGTTCTGATTTACTGTTTTTAATTTGCAGACTTTGTTTCCCTGACTGAGCTGTTTGATATGGTTGTGGTATGCCTGTAGGAATATTATAACCTTCAGGTCATTTGAGATGGTGGATCTCCCATTTTGTGTCCTTCTCAGTCAGGATATGACGGGAAACCATGAAAACTATTGAAAACCCTTCAAACAACACATGTTCAAAAACCCGCATACGTGGATTCGAACAAGAGGACATCGCTGAGAGAGAAATAGCGATAATAGTTTAGCAAATGGAACACCTTCATTAATGCTGTGCTCTCTCCAAACCCAGAGGCTGAAGACTTGGAACTAACCTGGAAAAGGATGCTTTTCATCTCTGTTTATGACTAGAAAAGCTAGTTTGTTATTATGGGCATTACTGAACTCTGTTTCACTATAACGGGGAGATTTCAAGTCAACACTTATGGATGCGCATTAAAGTGGGCTGGTATATATACAATTTTATACATATTATATGGCTGGATCATTGTTTTCTACGATTTCAAGTAAGTGTGAAATGTCTTTTCATACCTAAAACAAAAGGTAAAAGTATAGATATTCTGTGTCGAAGCTTTGCCACTCAAAAAAAATATTTGCTACATGAAACACATTGTCTGAAATCACTCATCTTTGTCTGAAGTTTCCTTAGCGTTTGTCCGATGTACTCCGCAGAGTGGGATGGTTTCAGACATCTGAGGGTACCTCGGATATGATACTATGTAGGTAAAATGTGATGATACACAAAGCTGATATATCGCAACTGGTGATTCCCAAATGGCTTACAATTATGATGAAACCTTTTTCTTAGGCGTAAATTGTTCCTGAAGCGAGTAGTGGAGCCAAACGTAAAAAATGTCAGAAGCCTCCATGCTCTCCCCTATATATAAGAACTTTGTTTCAGCAGGATCAGAGGCCTTGGAGCCCTTGAGACTTTGTGCTTGTTAATTAGGCTAGTACTTTGCTATGACTTGCTCACTTTGAGGTCATAGGCATGATTCTGCCTTTGATAAAACAGGCTTATACTTGTTGTCTTAGATTTATATGAATTTCAGCTTTAACGAAAGCTATGTTGATGGATCATCCTGCATCCTCTCTCACTTTAACAAGTTCTGTCTCCAATATGGGCCAAGTTTTGAAGGTTCCATTACTTCAGTCATCTTCGTGCTAGTGCAGATCTTCAAAGAATAATAATTATATCCTCATTCTCTTCCAGTAACTACAGTAAACCCCAAAACTTGCAACAGTCTTAGTAATATTAATATTAGGATTTCAGCTACAGTAGCCATTTATATAAATCGGGAGACGGGTCTCTTATAACCCTCAGTAAAAAAAAGTTTGTTTATAGCAGGAGTGA